TGACATGCGACTAAATCTTGATTAATTGAATCATTTTCAATATTAGATTCAAACAAATCAAATAAAAGTGAACTAACAATAGACATACTGTCAGTGTACTCACCAAATAGTTTTACACAAAACCTTAATTTTGACTAAAAAATCAAAATTCTTTGACAAATTCTTGACAATCCTTGATAAATTTATATCAGAAAATTTAATTTATAATATAAAATCAATTGGATTATATCAAAGTTACATTTGCATTAGGTCATAATATGATATTATAATCTTGATATTTACAATTAAGTTAAATATTTATTTTAATTATAAAATCTATTGTAGCATTTCTAATTAAAATATTTATTTTATATTTATTTAAAATAAAACCTATTAACAACTAATATCTAATTAATTAAATAAAACAATTAAACCATGGTAGGTGAGAATAAAATGAAGTAACATACACAATTATAAATAGTATATTATATTACAGTACTGTAGATAGTAGATGGAGTTTACTTCATGTTAATAGACTATTAATAATAGTAGTGTTACAGTAATATGCAGAGTTTCCAAGGTTATTTAAGTTGCCCTTAAGCACTGAACATATGAACATACTGTACTCAATATCACCAAACATGAGTGCTGTTTGACGTGTGTTTTCATGTCAAAATAAACTTTAACTTTGTCCACAAAGACCTTGCTACGGACTTTTGACACACAATTTGATCAAAATTAACTAAACTTTAAGTTAATGTTTAGTCAAATGTTAATGTTAAGTGTCAAACAACAAAATAACACTAACATCATTACAAGTGTCAATAAATACTAAAAGTTTCACCCATAATAATAGCCTAGTTAATAGCCAAGACCATTTATCTGTGAATTAACATGGGCTTATTAAACACCGGGTATGTATACTATTTATAAACTATTAATAAAATCACTTTTATAATCCTTTATAAGCTAGTATAAAACTTATACTCAATTTACTTGATCAGGGTATTAGCGGGTAAGACAGTGTTCATCACGGGTGGGAGTCGTGGTATAGGAAAAGCCATTGCCCTAAAAGTGGCCAAAGACGGGGCAAATGTGGTGATAGCGGCCAAGACTGCCGACAAACACCCGAAACTCGAGGGAACCATATATACGACCGCCGAGGAAGGTATCCATACTATCACTCAATCACTAAAGTTTGCCAAAAGTGTATAAACCCTGTGATTATGACAGTG